ACATAAATTGGAGTATACCTTTTCATTTGAAGATCTGACTCCAATCACATCGTATGATTGATTGTTATCGAAATATTCATGTCAGCTATCCTCCTATATCATAATCAACTTAAGGAATAATGAAACCAAATAAATCGAATACGAGAATGGATGTTTTGAATATGTATGTTTTATACAGTCGTTGATCGAGACAAATGATTGAAGAAACGAAGCAAAGAGAAGAGAGCGAATCTAGAGAAGGTGTGTCAGGCAACTTGATTTAACTAAGCGTGAATCAATATTTATAGTCAGACAAAGTTTAGTTATTGACGTACAATCAGTAAGATTGGAAATGCACACACACATACACTTACATAAAAACAATCAAGGTTAATAAGTGAATAATTAACAAGGACAAAACGTGATTCAAGAAGAATGAATAAACTTGTCTGTCCAAAAGCTAGAATAAGTTATATGGGCTTAGCATAGCAAACGACACTATATACCTACGGACCGGATAGCTCACTGGTAACGTCTTTGACTGTCAAGCTGGGTGACAGGGGATCGAAACCGTCAGGGAGCACCAGTTCCCTCAAGATTACAGGTACACCTTGCTGACGAAAGCCAAGTAGCACGAAATCCGTGTCCAGGGTCTCCTGTTGACTACCTCCAACCACCATCTAATCTCAATATGGTGCTCGCAGTGTTGAGTCACCTAGACTGGTGGCCATATTGCAACGTGGTTGATAGTATTCGATCTGCACTAAGAAGGACTTGACACACATGACATCGTTCACCACCCAGTGATCAATCAGTTGTGATAACACTACATAATCCTCCAGAACTCATTGACAGAATTCATAGATCAAATGAATTATTCACTCTGATTCTATACAGTTCACAGAATATAACTTTATCAAAGATAATTTATCATATTCAAAGATCACATATACCCTATCATATTCACTATAAAATGTTTTTCAATAAACTAATTGCTCGATTTAATTCCTCCGTTTTTTTTTTTCATATAAAGTAAGTTTCCAAGTTATTTTGTCTGGGATTTTTGAAAAACTATTTAAAAAAAAAGAAAATAAAAGCTGTTACATTGTTTCTATGTCAGTGTTAGTTAGCTACAATATAGGACCAGGCACAACTATGCGCCGGTTCAAGTTGCCATGGAGAATATCATCTCAGCATGTGTTGACAATCAATCCTGATTGTTGTTGTGTGTGTGTTTTTCTTTGTTTAAAGAAAAGCCAAGCTGTGAGATTGTAATTTTTTAAAAAAAATTAAAAACATAAACGAATTCTGATTTGTTTTTATTATTTCGCCTGTAATAATGATTTACAAATTACAATTAGGGAAATTAATTGTTACATAATCTTATGTTTTTAAGTAGTTTACTCAGTAGTATGATGGAAAATATGGGAAGTTTAATTTGATATAAACTGTATATGTGTATTCATTTGATATTGTTTCCTTGCATCATCATCATCATCATCCCATTGATGTTTAAGACTGTAATTGATTAGTCTGTTATTGTCAAATGTACATCTTGTGCGTATTGCCTCGATATAGCCTTAATTCACAACGTTTTTTAAGCAAAGATGAATAGTGGCTAGCAGTGGAATCCAGTTTGATGCGCATTTCGTTCTATTTGGGACTTGTCAGCAGGATGTACCTGCATCTCAGAGTTGATATTCACTGCGGGACTCAAATCCAGTACTGTTCGCTTCAAATACCATCGCGTAAAAAGGGGTCGTTTTGAAAATTCAAGAAATCATAATAAGAGATTTACATTTTTCGATTTGATAATATCAAATGTTAAATTAATTGATTGTAGAACTAAAAACTATCCAAACTGTGAACACTTGATATTGACGTCTTAATCATTTCTTGGATCTTCAGGTGTTTTCTATGCTCGAACTCCACACGGTAGACAAAAGGCACGATTTATAAATGTTCAAGTAATTAGAGTATTTATAAGGTTTTTGGTAGCTTCCGTCTTCTGGATTCAAATTCAATTTGAGAAATTCTCAAATTGTAATTTAGAACAAGATAAATATAAGCGAACCTTATTGTTTTCGAGTAGATCTTCATCAAACTATACTCTGATATACAGTAATGTATTTATATATGCATATACGAAATGAATTAAACCAATGAAGGCAGTTTATGAGTCAATGATGATAATAGTGGAATAGATTAAATAAATAAATGAAAAGTACAAATTGATAGCATGGTGACAACTTTACGAGTTGTGATGTGAATAATAAAGGCTTGAATCAATGTTACATAATGGGAGATAGGTCATTGACTAGAGAAATATAGACAATGGGATAAAATTTATAATAAAATGGTAAGATTACGTAATAAGAGGGAAATGTTCGGATACCTGGACCATGAAGCGTAGATTTGAGGAAAGAAAAGAGTGGGAGGTGGTGAAGAAAAATAAACGAAGAAAGAGTATGGAAAATGATATTAAATAAAACCGTTTATTGAGGTCAAGGGAGAGATAAGGGTGTTACAAATTTCTTCTAAACACAAAGACTTAGATTGTTGGCTCGAACTGCTATAGCTTCTGCTATGTGTAAGAGACGAGATCGAACACTATAGGGGAAACTAGTAGGCATACGATAACTAACTTTAAATGATTTATTTCTGTCGATTACACGATCGCTATCGATCAAGCATGATAGGACAGATCTGCGTATTGTCTTGACGGTACCCTTTCCTAACCATGAAGGGAGGCGTTTACTAACTCTTTGGTTCAGTTGTCTGGTAGTGCACCCAATATAGCTTACACCTGTCATCACACTGTCCATTTGTACTTTACACTTATTTATGTAATCTATTCCATTGTTATCATCATTGACTCATAAACTGCCTTGGTTGGTGTAATTCATTTTAGTATATGGGTATATAAATATATTACTGTATATTAGAGCAAAACCTGATGACGATTTAATAGTTTTAGACAAAACCAATAACCGATTATAAACCTAAAGCTTTATGTCCAAAATAAACCTGTTCAATATTGTCAATCCATTTTGAGTAGATGAAGGCATAGATATCTTACCTTTATGTATATTCACAGTTCAAATCAATGTCATTCATATATTTTAATAAGATTGGGAAATTGATTTATTCTCCATCTATTGTTAATCATTGATTAAAGCTAAATCACTACTGAAAACTTGAAATCAACGAACAGTTATTTCGTCCTAGTATAGAAGTTCTCAGCAGTGTAAATCCACGATCCTGTACGCAGGATTCCATTTATTCTATAGATTACGTAATCATGTATAAAACATTTATTTCAGTTTATGATTACATTATGGTCTCTTTTAAATCACATTGATAACCATGAATAATTTTTCTGGTTAGTGTTTTTTTAGCGAGTTAGTTTTCTACGAGATGGGGTCGCTAACCCCATGCCCAACCCTCCTTCTTTATCCGGGCTTGGGACCGGCAGTAGCCCCCGGAGGGACTCCAGGCGGAGTTCACATTGATAACCATATTAATGAGTATCAATTTTTACTAAACCAATGAATAGATAAGCATATTAGTTATTTCACTATTTAAAAACTTTATTTTCTAAGATGGTGGATAATATTGATAGCTCAAGTGGATGATTTTGATAGAATTTTGTTTTTTGAACTGGATGGTTTGGTCGTGAAGTTTACATCGTTCTTCTGAACGACATCATCAACACAAACTTCATGTAGACCTCAATCTTGATTGATTACTGTTGATCTTTAACATGTCATTGTTCACTTTATTTTGATTGTATCTTTCAATCAGAAAAATTATGGTCAAATATAAGACCATGAAACAAATCAATAATGGGAGAAGTACACTATGACAGGTTAAATTTCGACAGTAATCAATTAAGATCGAGGTCTACAGGACAAGTTTGGAGTTACATATCGATAAATTCTAACACTTCAATTCTATCTGAAGTTTGTGCTGATGATATCGTTCAGAAGAACGATATAAGCTCCACGACTAAATTATCCAGTTCACAGAACAAAACTCCATCAAAATCTTCATTTTCTATTGTAAGTCATAAAGATGAATTCATTGAAGTTACATCATTATTAACACGGTTTGATTATTTTAAACTAATCTATGTTCTATAAACAAAGATACATGACGGCTAACAGTAGGATATCAGGACAGACATTTCATTCTAATTAAGAAGGCACAAGTAAATAATACCATTAGGAATTTGATCCATATTCTGTTATCATTTCTTGAAATGATAACCTTGATTGTTTTATATGAATGTATGTATGTGCATTGCATATTCTACTCATGACATGTCTGTAACTTATTTTTATTCTTCTATAAATATCGATTCACGCTTAGTTAAATCGAGTTTGCACACACTCCTTCTCCAGTGCAGTACACATCATTTCACTTCACTCTCATCTTTTCACTTTGTTTCTCTGTTCATTGATATAGATCAACAATTATACAAGGTTACTGTGGGAAAGAACAAACCAACTCCCAGTGGAGGAAGAAATCAGGAATTAGTGCTGGAAGTGGATAGGACACAAAAATTAAGGAAAGCACCCAACTGCATCACAAGACAAGCCCCCGCATGGAATCCTCATGGCCAATCAGGGTGAACAGGAAGATCAAAGAACACATTATGCCGAGAAATGGAGATAGATATGAGAAAAATGAACAAGAATTGGATGGAACTAGAAAAGAAGGCCCAGGACAGAGAGGGTTGGAGTTTGCTGGTTTGTGGCCTATGCTCTATTAGAAGTAAAGTAATTATACAAGATATAAATATTCAAAATATTCATTCTCATATTCGACTTATTTTAATTCCATTATACACGAATATTAGTCCAATCAAAGATTGGTGATATGTTGTCTATTTTGACAGTGATCATTTATATGATCCATTTCAAGTCAGATCTATGATCACTAAAAGTTTATTTACATCAAAACAAAACAAAACAAAAAGCAGATAATACATAGTACAGTGATTACGTAATTTGACTTACCTTTTTATACCATAAGTGAAATCAACAAATAAATATAAATAGATGATAATAGATAATAATAATAATAAGATGATATTTTGATTCATTGAACAATATTGTCACTATCTTCTATGTATAGATATAGATATAGATATAGATAATGCAGTCACGTCAGTGATTATCTTCTAAGTGATTATGTAATGTGGTCAAATTAAAATTTAAAAAAAAGAACAATTTAGTGAGTTTCTACAATAAACTGCATGTTTCTCTTTTTTTTTTTGAGGAGGGGGAGGCAGTTAGCAACAAGTTTAAGCAATGTAATGAAGAAGAAGTATTCTATGAATAGAAGACTATTTATAATAAAATTAATTGTTAGTTTGTTTACAAAAGTACACAAATACATATGTGTGTATGCACACACACACGTACGTACGTACGTACGTACTTATGTACGCATGCGTGCACACACATACGCACATGTACACATGTTTTTTTATCTACATAACAATTTAAGATTGTTACTGTTGAAAGGTGAAAAATGAAAAAAAAACTTAGATTGTGGGCGATTGGAAAAAAACAAAAAAACCGTGATATGATTGGTTAGTTATTTGGTTAAATTATTATGTTTATTACATAACAGGTTAATAATAGTAGAATTACATTTGGATAATATAAATGTTACATTCTATTATTCAATGTATATGAATGTTATAAGAAAGATTGAGGTTATTCATAGTTCATTACTTATTTACTTACTTACTCCTGTTACTCCTAATGGAGCATAGGCCATAGATCAGCATTCTACAACACACTCTGTCCTCGATATTCCTTTATACTTCTAACCCATTCTTTTTCATTCTTTTCATGTCTGTCTTCATTTCTCAGTGTATTGTGTTATTCGGTATTCCTCTTCATCCCCATTGACCTTGAGGATTCCATGTGAGGGATTGTCTTGTGATGCAGTTTGATGCTTTCCTTAATTTGTGTGTCCTATCCACTTCCAGTACTTCTTCTTGACTTCTTCCTCCACAGGGATCTGGTTTGTTCTCTTCTAAAGTAGATTGTTGCTGATAGTATCTGGCCAACGAATCCGAATTATTTTGTGTAGACAACTGTTAATAAACATCTGTATCTTCTGGATGATGGTTTTCGTAGTTCTTCAAGTTTCCATCCCATACAGTATCACTGTTTTGACATATGTATTGAAAATTCTGACTTTGGTGTCAATTGACAGACAGTTGTTTCGAGTTTCAAATTTTGTTCAATTATAAATGTGTTGCTCTTACTTTTCCAATTCACGCCTTCACATCGGGATCAGATATTTATAGTTGATTATCAGACTATAAAATGATTAGTAAGGATCCTTGAATCCGATAAATTCAATGTAATGGATACTTGTTAACAAGTATATCTATAATCTTCGAAGTTCATCTTAATGCTGATGTGTAAATCGCATTAGGAATGACTTTCAGTAGGATTGAAATATATGTATATATGTTGTCTAGATCTGTGGGAAATGCTAGTTCATGAATATGATTGTTGATTCCTTAATTGTACATGTTAAGCTGTTTCACTAATGGGGTCATTTGGTTGACAGAATTAAGACGTTTATAGAATCGATTCATATAGCATGTATCTACTGAAGCCGTCCGTATCACAAACAATAAGTTGAATTGCGTATTAAAATAGGTGTATATTTCATGAGATTCATTTCTCTCATATTCAACTAGTATTTATTCATTCAAATAATGTCCATTACAACAGAGGATCAAAAATAGTATGTGTTGTACGAGCTAAAATTTATGCATGGATTGAGATACCATCCTGTGACTCAAATTAACTCAGATTGTTTTCTCAGGGTGGTAATAAATAAACCTTAGACCTAAAGGTTAAGTTCATAAAGGTGCTGCTTCATGGTAACCAGCGGCCAAAATTAAATTCATATGAAATTTGTGCCCTCAGGATCCTGGAGCTCATATGAACTTCCGGTTTGAAATTCGGTTCTTTCACTCGGTTCAGCAACTTTCTTGGCACTGATATTAGTGTGATGCCTCTGTAGTCCTCACACTTTCTCAGATCTCCTTTATTTGGTATGTTGATGAAGTGTACTTGTTTCCAGCATGTGTGTGGCACTTGTTAGTTCTAAATAGGAGGTGAAGCATGTTTGCACTTACTTCTATGTCTGACTTCAGTATTTCAGCTTAGATGTTTTCAGGTCCTAATGCTTTATCTTCATTTGTCTTTAATCTTTGTTGAAGTGACATCCATGGGAAGGTCTGTAGGTGCCGCTTCAATATCCGGTGGATTCAATGGGGCTGGTCTGTTTAAGAGTTCGTCGAAGTGTTCCACCAATCTGTTCCTCTGTTCTTGAATCTCCGTGATTGGTTTGCCTCCTTTGTCTTTGATTGATCTCTCTTGTTTACTGTATGGTTGTCTCACATTTCCTTCTCTTGTAACTTTTTTTACTGTCGTTGTTAGGTCTTCCACGTATTTCCGTTTGTTGGCTCTAATGCTCTTCTTCACTTGCTTGTTTGATTCTGTGTACTCATCTTGTGCCTTGACTTTCTCTACTCTTGTTCGACCGTTTTTAATTACTGTCTTCTTGATCTTTCTTTCTTGAATCCCACCGAGGTTTTTGATAGAGGTCCATTCATTATGATGATGCTTGTTCCGACGCAGCACCTCGTTACACGTTGAAGTTGGTGCTTCTTTAATCCATTTCCAGTTGTCCTCTGTAGTAGTTTCTTATTCTTCATCAGATTACATCCCATAAGTGCTTTGTGCGCTTCTTTCAACAGCATCTGTGCAACTCCTTTTGTTCAAGACGCGTCTAATTAACAACAGGAGAACATTTAGGGTTTATTTTCGATAAAAATCCTAAGGTTTCATAAAATAATTGTTTTGGCAACCATAATTAGATGAACCCCAATGATGAATAAATTTCAGAAATCAATAGGGAAATTTGAATATAGTTTTATCTCGCCATATCAGCAGCTATTTGACTGATCATTCAGGTCGCTCAAAGTGTCCGAACATTCCTTGTATTTATGTTAGTTATTGCATTGGTTATTAGAGGAAGCATCGGCCTTGTGATTCCCGAAGAATCTCGGCATTCATCCTAAGGAGTCATAACTTTCTGTCACTTGCTTTTATTCAACAAAATCGCCTAGTAACAACATATGAGATTAAATACAAACTTTTAGTCTTAAGAAGTCCGCTAGATAATTATGTCGTATATCGGTCATTTCATAATTTTCATAAATTCCTATTTCATAGAAAAACCAGCTGCCGATAAATGATTAGTCAATCACTTATGAACAATTGCAGTTAAGATAAATAGGTGAGGCCTCGGTAACTGTTTGGAACTCGTCAGCTGGACGTACCTGATAAATGTTCAGTCCAGGACTGAAAACACCATCATGTTATCCACTTAGCTACTGGGTACAGAAAGCCAGTAGCTTGTGCAATGGTATGAAGTTTAATTAAAGTAAAACAAAACGTGCATCCTAGAACCCATTGCTAGCCACTATCCATCTCTGCTTATAATGTTTGTGACTTGAGGCAATATCGAGGCAATTCGTTTAGAATACACATATGCCAATAAAAGACTTATCAATTACACCTATAAACGTCGACTGGAAGATTCAAATGAATGTTCAAATAACTTGATATTTTCAAAAGTACAAGCCATTCAGCAATAAAAGTACACTGTACACATAGTTAATGAATGTAAGAATGACAAAAACCTTGACTCTTGAAGAACGCTGACACTCGTATTCAGAGGACACTGTTTGATATTTTCATCAACTGAGAAGACCAATTTATAATATGCTTATAAATAGTATTGAAAAGCTTTGAATCACTTTTTTGTTTCGATTTGGATGATTAATTTCAGCCTTCTCTGTTGGTGTTTATCATTTTTGAAGGAAATGATTTATTACTAACATACTGTTATTATCATTCAAGACCGTATAGTGATTATAATGAACAATATTCAGTACAAAATAAACCAATATGTGATAGTATTGGTGTTCATTCATAGTGTGGTGCGTGCTACTTATATTGATATAAGTAGTATATGACGCGAGTCAGGAATATAATGTGTGGCAGCAGAAGATGGGGAAGATCAATAAAGTAGGAGTGGGAATAGAAAGCAATTAGTATGGAAATGCAAGAACAACGAAGTTCAAGACAATTATTGAACATTTTGCAAATTCAGTAGTGTGGTTTGTCTATTTTATCAAGTAACTCTGTAATTTTGTGCTAAATATAATTCGATTGTCCCCACCCATATTCTGTTCACTACAATAACACTTCAGTGGATATTCAGAGTATTCTGGTTACCAATTGTAATTTCACTGATGAAGCTATAAATCTTTATCGACTAAAAGGATTACAACATGTATTACACATACATAAACAAAGCTTACCTTGATACTCAAATCTGATTGGTTAGATAAACATTAAAACTGAATTATGTCACTGGTTTGTGATAAAGATACAGACTTATTGATCAGGATCTATGGGATGATCATAATCTGTGGTCGGAGATATTAAGTTACATTGTGTAAAATCAGTTGCACGAATATAGTTGGAATCATTCTCTATTGTCCCCTAAACAGTGATCTAAATTTCATGAATATTTTTCAATCATATTTGTTCTGGATGGATATTTATCTTGAATCTTGCATAGTTCAACTTTATGAATATAACCTGACACTTATTTATCCCTGTTATAATAGTCAGATTTCTTTGTGTATACAAATGGGAAGTTAATTTGACTTAGATGAATATCTACATTAGATTACCTCCTGGTGTTTATTCTATAGAACTTCACCACAACTCAGATTAAGAACACTTGATTAACCTGACTATAATGTAAATAAATTTCCACACCAAAAACCGACAACAATTCGTCAATAATCACAGTAATAATAAAGGTGAAAGAATATATAATTCATCGAACGCCTGTCAGACTATTTACAAGTTTAACTAAACAAACAATCAATCATTATCATTCTCATCCACACATCAATCCCAGGTTCTACAATGTTGTAGATTAAATCAATGAAAATTAGAAAATTGCAGATAAATATTCTGTATTTTC